GTTCAGCAGTTAGTCGGAGGTGCAAACCGATTGAGGCAAGAAGAGGCTCTTAAAAAGAACAAGCCGGCAATCGTTGTTGGCACGCCCGGTAGGATTGCAGAGATAAGCAAAGCCGGGAAGTTACATACACATAGCTGTAGATTCTTGGTGATAGATGAAGTTGATGAGCTGTTGTCATTTAATTTCCGGGATGATATGCATCGGATTTTGGAACACGTAGGGCGAAGATCCGGGGCTGACCCTCGTGATCTTGCTAAACATGCTGACCGAATTACTATTCTGGTTTCTGCAACTGTCCCGTTCTCGGTTATAAGAGCAGCTAGAAGCTGGAGTCATGAACCAGTTCTTGTCCAAGCCAACAAAGTAACGCCTCTCGATTCAGTCCAAGCATCAGCCCCGGTGAAATTATCCCCTACAAGCTCAGATCCCGAGATGCAAAGCCAGACAACAACAATCCAAAGCCTGCCCCCGGCATTAGAACACTACTACTGTATCACAAAACTGCAACACAAAGTCGACACATTAAGAAAATGTGTTCATGCTCTTGACGCCCAATCAGTGATAGTGTTCATGAACCACTCCAAGCAGCTAAAAGACGTCGTCTTTAAACTCGAAGCCCGTGGAATGAAATCTGCAGAACTACACGGGGATCTCGGGAAGCTAGCGAGGTCAACCATTCTGAAGAAGTTCAAGAGCGGGGAGATTAGGGTTCTCGTGACAAATGAGCTCTCGGCTAGGGGTTTAGATGTAGCGGAATGTGATCTCGTGGTAAATCTCGATCTTCCAACCGACGCAGTCCATTATGCCCACCGTGCAGGCAGGACAGGAAGGTTGGGAAGGAAAGGGACAGTAGTGACAGTGTGTGAGGAACCACAAGTCTTTGTCGTGAAGAAGATGGAGAAACAGATTGGTTTGCCAATTCAGTATTGTGAGATTACAGAAGGGAAGCTTGTTGTGACTGATGAGGACAAGGCTTTAGTCAGGTAAATGTTGTCTCTTTTGACATGTTTCAGACAGTTAAATTCAAAAACAAAAATAGATGGCATGAAAAAGTACAATTTATTTTGAAGGTGCATTTTAAATTAATGAAGATAATGTAGTGTTTATTTTTGAAAATGGAGAAACCCCTTTCCATTGACAGGAAAAGAAAGTAGAAATTCAAGGTTTTTTCTGGTAACCCCATGGATTGTTGCTTGCCCACTTCCACTGGTCTCTGCACATTTCCTCCACCCCATATTTTGCCCTGGCCACAATAATTATGAAAAAACAAAAACACTATTACATAGAAAAGATTTATGAAACTTTTACAAATACTGATTATATATATATATAAGATGAGATTTTTGAGTGTTGATCTCAGGAAGACTTTGTAAGGTAATTCAAAAGTTTGGGCCTTCAGTTCCTTGCAACTGAGTTGCAAAATTCAATCGTTTTTTTTATCTGTTTACTATCCCAAAAAAAGCTTCTAAATTTCATGCATTTGATTATCAAAATTACATTTAAGAAGAAATTTGCCATCTAGATTCATAACCCACAAAGAAAGGCTATCTATTTGAAGATTACTTGCAACCCAATTTGTCAGTTTCAGAGGGGATTGAACAAGGGAATGACTTACTTCCAGCCGAGTTCTTTCTCGGCTTTCTCTGTTGAAGCATAAACAGCCGTTGCATCTCCCGGCCTTCTTGGGCAAAGCTTGATAGGGATTTTCTGCAATGTTTGTTTTCAATGTGATCAATATAGATACATACATGCATGTATGTATGTAGACAAACACATAGTGACAGCTCTTCTCAGCAGTTGAGGTGGAAAGACTGTAAGATATTACCTTTCCAGAGGCTTTCTCGAAAGCAGAAACCATTTCTAAGACAGAAGTTCCTCGTCCAGTCCCAAGATTATAAGCCGTACAGCCTTATACCAATGACAACATGAAACTCACTCAGTATCTTGTAATAAAAATTCAAAAGCAACAAACTTTCTCCAGGTAACCATCAAACCAAACAGTTAAAAGAAAGTATATCTGGTTAAAGTACCGATCTTTGGATCTGCAAATAGCTTCCTCACTGCTGCAATGTGGCCATCTGCCAAGTCCATTACATGGATGTAATCTCTGACCTGTATTGTAGCAGTGATCATCAAAACCCCTCATGAAGGTAAACCATCCTGGTGAAATTCAAGATTCCTTCCAACCCAAATGGGTTTGGTTTAGATTACTGATAAGCTGCATAAAAAGGGTCCGGAGAAAGGCATACCGCACTGCCATCCCCGGTAGGATAGTCGTGTCCATAGACATTCAGTTCAGGTAATCGTCCAACTGCTACTTGTTGGATGTAAGGCATGAGATTATTGGGAATACCCTTTGGATCCTCCCCGATTCTGCCACTCTCATGAGCTCCAACCGGATTGAAGTACCTCAAAAGGATAATCCTCCATTCCGGTTCCGCCTTTTGAATATCTCTAGCTATTTCTTCGAGAAATAGCTACAGGAAGAAGGGATGAAACTGATCTCAAAACTCGAATGGGCAACTAACAGTGAAGCAGATTCAAAGCCTGAGAACTCAAAGTGGGGAAAAGAGTAAACTTTACCTTAGTTCGACCATAGGGGTTCATAGCCTTCAAATCAAAGTCTTCCATGCAGGGGATTTTTTCAGGTTGGCCATAGACAGTTGCAGATGATGAAAACACCATCTGCATATTCCATCATCAGTAAAGTAATATGAATATCAACATACGTCAGAACAAAAAAAGGGTGAACAATAATCAAAATATAGGATCCACTCGGACCATTTTGCAGTTGTATTTTGCCATGGTTTCGTATAGGTTGATTGTTCCAATCAAGTTATTGTCAAAGTAGCGACGAGGGTTTGCGACGCTCTCTCCCACGGCCTTAAGACCCGCAAAATGGATCACAGCGTCAAATCTGTTTCCACACAAGGCAAAAATGTAACCAGAGAATCAGAAAAGAAGGTTGCAAACTCTATGATTCAACTGGAAGATCACAAAGCTTGAAGGTCCAAATATTTACATACTTCTGTCTGGAGAAGAGTTTCTCGATATCCCCTTTGTTCCTTAGATCACCCTGCATCCGACGAAACACGAAAATTCAGAAACTCTATCGAATTTATCTGTTCTGTCTCCTAAGAAGTGAAAGATACACAGGAATGCAGGAAACAAAAACTTATAATGTCAAGAAGACGGCTACAGTTAAACCAAAGGCTACATTTCTTCTTCACTCTTTCTCGGAAACCAAACAGAGAGGAAAATGCAGGAATATAAATGAAATAGTTTCTTTATTCCATATAAAATTCAGAAAAAAAAAGGTTGACTTCTCTGTTTTGTAAGTTCCAGCTGAGCCGAAGAACAGAGCATGCCTATCCAACCATACACACAGAGCATCAATGAAACTGTGCAAGATCATAGCGTCAACAAATTTTCTCGGAAAAATAAGAGAACCCAGAGAGAAAATGGAAAAAAGGGTCTGTACTTACGACATTGAACTCGAGCTTGTTAGAGAGATCAGGATCAACAAGCTCCCTAACCCTATCGACAGCTTCCACGACAGAGTTATCGAGGTTGTCGATGATCGAAACCCTAAAACCCTCATTCAGAAGCTGAACAACAGTGTGCGTACCGATGAATCCGGCACCTCCGGTAACCAAAATGTTCTGCTCCACCGAAGAACCCATTTTCCAGAGAATTCTGACAGAAACCCACAACGAAACCAACAGAAACGCCAAAAGGATCAAAACCCACTTCGCAAAATTGAAAATTCCTGCGGTTTCCGCTACTGTATCGGATATCAGAGAGAGAAAAAGATAGGCGGTTGAGGAAATCAAGGGGGGGAAAGATGGGTTCTTTTATGGTCTGTTGCTTTCCTCCAAGCAGATAAGAAGGCGACAAAAGCGAAATTTAGGCAAAGAGAGAGATTTTTGTTGGTTTCTTTTCATAAAACGGATGACAATGATGACGACGGCGATGATCCGTGAAGAGATATACTGCTGGGGGAAATACAGTTTGCGTTTCGATCGTCAAAGTTTGTCTCTTTTTCTGGGCGGGTTGAAGGGTTTAAATAAATATATAATTCATGAAACCAGTAGCAAAATCTTCTCTTTTTTTTTTTCAATTTTCATGGATAAGTAGAGAAGAACATTGTTACATGTCCACATGAATCCTCAGAATTAGTAATTTTCAGTTATTTTTCTTATATTAGATTTTTTCCGGTATTATTCCGTTTATTAACCATTTTTTGGTTGAATGTACAGTGTATCAACTATTAAGGCTTATCCAATTGCCATGTGATCTGTAAAATAATCGGATGCCAGTCAAAATCCAATCACCTTTAACGAATATGAAATGCAAAGGGCAATTCTTTAAATAGTTTTTACCATAGAAATGAAAAAAAGAAAAGAAGGATTAGATTCTTTCGCACCAATATATATTTTTCCAAAATAGAGCCGTCTATAAATCTCATCCATTGTCATATCATAACGAAAACAAAATTCCAAAAGCAATCTAGAAAAAAAAAAAAGAAGATAGATTCTGAATCGATTTTAGTATGTTTTATCGGGAAAAATAATATATTATATAGTTTAAATAAATAAAGTTGTAAATGCTGTTATTATTCATGATCTTATGGGATAAAATTCGCCTTTCACAAAAAAAATGATCTTATTGGATAAAGCTCAAACAAAAAAAAACGATTGTAAGATCATCTTCCATCTTTTTTTTTTTTTTGGTTCATCATGAAAATCAATATTTTATTTGTCAAAGATGAAAAGAAAACTTATAAGGTGGATTCAATCTCAAGAAACCCTAAAATCAGATAGGCGTAAAACTCTCGAAAATAATACCAAAGTTATCATCATTCCTTTCACAAAACTCCACGTGCTATCCACCTAACTACTAGAAGATGCATAAACTCTCTTCTTCTTCTTCTTCTTCTTTTTTTTTTTTTATTACAAGAAGCTTCGAACAATTTCCTATCTCTCGAGCTATCTCCCCTCTAATCAAGTTCTACTATTGATCAAAATGACAATTCATATTATTTTTTATCAAAATTTTTAACAGTTTCTTTTATCAAAAAATTTTTTTTTAACAGTTTCTACAATTTTTTTTGGATCAATTTCTGATATTGAAACCAAAATAAAAAATAACCACACTTAAACTATTATATACACTTTATTTGAAATATACCATAAATCATCTACATTGAAAATCACATGTTTAATTTGAATATATATAATTTCATGTATGTAGAATAATTTGTATACACTTTGTTATCAATTCTTAGGAGAGCGAGGATTGGCTCTTCTTCTGAACTCTATTTGCTTTTGTCTTCCAAATCGATTGATTCTGGGGGGTTTTCCTCCTAATTATTCTCTATTGGGTTGTGTATTTATAGGGATTCGATATTGATTTCACGAAATTCCGTTGCATCTTCAATTTTCGACCTGTCTTTGTCGATGATATCTTCACGGTCGATGAACGTGAAGTAGAAGCTTTTGATTTGCTCAAGGAACTCTGTGTGGACGCCATTAAGCACCAATGAGGAGGCGGTGAAGGCTATTTATACTGTTTTCATATATGTATGATGGTAAAATGGTTTTATATGTTTAATTATGTATACTAACTAATACGTGATTTGTTCAGCAAAAAGAGGTTTGAGGTGGTGAAAGCTATAAAAGCACACTATTATCTGTGTGTGGGGCTAATGTTTTTCATCATCTTTGAGGCCAAGGATCCTTCTGATGGAGATGACAAGCCGAAACTCTTTCAAGCTAAGTCTCGTTTCTTTTATTCGTATGGAACTTTCTTCCAGTACTGCAGGCCCACACCCGAGAAGAAAGGTAAACCCTTTGTCTACCTGCAAGTTACTAGGTAGTCTTTGGGGTATTCTTCCCCTGCCTCTCGTGTCAGTGGGCATTGGGAAGGAGTATTTTCTGACTGTCGTCTTATTGATGATGCTTTCAGATTGAGATGATGGGAGTTTATGCACGTGGGTACGAGAGGCTAAGAACCGTTCCTTATCTGATGGTTCTATAAAAAATCATGTCAAGCAGTAGACTAATATTATGTGAGGAAGAACTCCGTAGTAGCTAATATATTATGTGGATAAAACTCAATGTAACCAGATTATAACTAATATTTCAACACTTTTACCTCGATTTTGTGGGTACAAGGTTTAGCCATCGTTCCATAGTATGGACACTGTTCCTCTAGAACAGTGCCCAATTCCATCATAAACGTGCGGGTGTGAGTAAACTTTTGTGATCGTTCCCTTTTCTTTGTCTTTGTGCTCAATACCATTAAAGAGATGTTGGGCAGACAATTTTATAAGTACTTTAATTTTGTCCTCTATAAATAAAGAAAATTCCAAACATCTGATCACGGCCATTGCCCAGCAAATACATATACATGAACATAGTAAATATGCTATCTTGATTGCTATAAACCTATCTCACAAATGAAAAGCTAAACATGTATCATACTTACCCAAATTTTCTTGATGTGTAACCGGCCCCACGATATTTTTCTCAAGGGTCCAATCCTAGAATTCTGAGACATCCGGTGTGAAAAATAAATAATATAGTTTAGAACCGAAAATTTTAAATGAAATGAATATATATAGATTAAACATTCAAGAATTGAATTTACCGTTGGTCACTCGTCGTCCAGAGGAGTGAAACGTTGATAACAAACATAAATAGATCAAATTAGCATGGACTTGAATATATATGTACCAATGCAAACGCTCATATCAAACATATATATATCTTAGTGCTAACAGAAGATGACGAAGCCTTGGTTTTCTTTGATGGAGTCGAGTGCTTAGATTTCCCTTTTCCACACCTATGTCAGCACCTATGGGATCCATCTCAAAGCTACTGTCGTTTCGAATATCAAAAATCAAATTGGCAAGATATGAACATGTTAGACACACATGTGCATAATTAGAACAAACAAATATAGTTGTAAATTTGTACTCACTCAACATCGTGATCCGAAAGAAAGGCGGTAGCATCTCCCTCCCCACTCATATCCTTTGGTCAATGAACAATAAATATGAAAGCAAAAATGTGTATACATATTACTTGTACTTATACTTAACGATCTCAGAAAACTTCCGAGCATACATAGAACGCTTTTAAAGAGTAAATAAAAACAAGCAGATTAAAGATCAAATTTTCAGCAGATTAACCATAGATAATGAACTGTATATCGCTAGATGCTACAAACTTACATCCGGATAGTCATCGAAATTAATGAAAAAACATGAAATATATTTTTTTAAGAAGCAGGGCAATCAATGGATAAAATCAAATATTTTAAAAGAAAAGATTCATAATTTTTTTTAAAAAAAAAGGAATAAGAAACAAGATTGGACCATAGTTTCTCAAACATTATATCATGAAATGTCAGATGTGATCATTCTACTTATACGAAGTTTTCTATAACCATTAAACCAAATCATGACGATGATTTTACCTTGCCCCAAACATTCATTCCAACATCACATATGAGAATAAGGATACACAAAATTGAATTTTGTGGCCAAATAAAAATTACAGAGAGAACAACAGAACAATGTATCAGTAACTCAATGCTATGTTGTTGTTGTTCTTCTTCTTCTTCTTCTTCTTCTTCTTCTTTCTTCTCCTTCTTCTTCTCTTCTTCTTCTTCTTCTTCTTCTTCTTCTTCTTCTTCTTCTTCTTCTTCTTCTTCTTCTTCTTCTTCTTCTTCTTCTTCTTCTTCTTCTTCTTCTTCTTCTTCTTCTTCTTCTTCTTCTTCTTCTTCTTCTTCTTCTTCTTCTTCTTCTTCTTCTTCTTCTTCTTCTTCTTCTTCTTCTTCTTCTTCTTCTTCTTCTTCTTCTTCTTCTTCTTCTTCTTCTTCTTCTTCTTCTTCTTCTTCTTCTTCTTCTTCTTCTTCTTCTTCTTCTTCTTCTTCTTCTTCTTCTTCTTCTTCTTCTTCTTCTTCTTCTTCTTCTTCTTCTTCTTCTTCTTCTTCTTCTTCTTCTTCTTCTTCTTCTTCTTCTTCTTCTTCTTCTTCTTCTTCTTCTTCTTCTTCTTCTTCTTCTTCTTCTTCTTCTTCTTCTTCTTCTTCTTCTTCTTCTTCTTCTTCTTCTTCTTCTTCTTCTTCTTCTTCTATTATAAAAGTTTATGTTTTTAAAAATATATTCTAAAGATGATTGTATATTCAACATTAGTCGTATATTCAATGTTTTTAAAAATATATTCTAAAGATGATTGTATCAGACAACATCATCTAACTTAGGAAAGAAGAAGAAGAAGTTGTTTTGTTTAGATTACATAATTTTATCATTTATTTTTATTCTAATGTTGTCTTTTTTTATAATTTTTGTACTGCACACACAGTCAGACAACATCATCTAACTTAGGAAAGAAGAAGAAGAAGTTGTTTTGTTTAGATTACATAATTTTATCATTTGTTTTTATTCCAGTGTTGTCTTTTTTATAATTTTTATAGCGCACACACAGCCAGACAACATCATCTAACTTAGAAGAAGAAGAAGAAGAAGAAGAAGAAGAAGAAGAAGAAGAAGAAGAAGAAGAAGAAGAAGAAGAAGAAGAAGAAGAAGAAGAAGAAGAAGAAGAAGAAGAAGAAGAAGAAGAAGAAGAAGAAGAAGAAGAAGAAGAAGAAGAAGAAGAAGAAGAAGAAGAAGAAGAAGAAGAAGAAGAAGAAGAAGAAGAAGAAGAAGAAGAAGAAGAAGAAGAAGAAGAAGAAGAAGAAGAAGAAGAAGAAGAAGAAGAAGAAGAAGAAGAAGAAGAAGAAGAAGAAGAAGAAGAAGAAGAAGAAGAAGAAGAAGAAGAAGAAAAATGTAAACCCTTTGTCTACCAACAAGTTACTAGGTAGTCTTTGGGGTATTCTCCCCCTATCTCTCGTGTCAGTGGGCATTGGGAAGGAGTATTTTTCTGACTGTCGTCTTGTTGATGATGCTTTCAGATTGAGATGAAAGGAGTTTATGCACATGGGAGTAGCAGTAAGCGTATGAGAGGCTGAGAGGCTAAGAATCGCTCATTATCTGGCAGTTCTATAAAAAAATCATGTCAAGCAGTAGGTTAATATTATGTGAGGAAGAACTCCATAGTATCTAATATATTATGTGGACAAAACTCGACGTAACCAAATTATAACTAATATTTCAACACTTTTACCTCGATTTTGTGGGTACAAGGTTTAGCCATCGTTCCATAGTATGGACATTGTTCCTCTATAACAGTGCTCGATTCCATCATAAACGTGCGGGTGTGAGTAAACTTTTGTGATCGTTCCCTTTTCTTTGTCTTTGTGCTCAACACCATTAAAGAGATGTTGGGCAGACAATTTTACAGGTACTTTAATTTTTTCCTCTATAGATAAAGTCGATTCCAAACATCTGATCATGACCACTGCCTAGCAAATACCTATACATGAACATAGTAAATATGCTATTTTGGTTGCTATAAACCTATCTCACAAATGAAAAGCTAAACATGTATCATACTTACCCAAATTTCCTTGATGTGTAACCGGCCCTACGACATTTTTCTCAAGGGTCCAATCCTTCTAGTATTTTTTAGAATTTTCTGAGACGTCCTGTTTGAAAAATAAATAATGTAGTTTAGAATCGAAAATTTTAAATGAAATGAATATATATAGATTAAAAATTCAAGAATTGAATTTATTGTTGGCCACTCATCATTCAGAGGAGTGAAACGCTAATATCAAACATAAATAGATCAAATTAGAATGTACTTCAACATATATGTATCAATGCAAATGTTGATATCAAACATATATATATCTTAGTGCTAACAGAAGATAACGAAGCCTTGGTTTTCTTTGATGGAGCCGAGTGTTTAGATTTCCCTTTTCCACACCTATGTCGGCACCTATGGGATCCATCTCAAAGCTACTGTCGTTTCGAATATCAAAAATCAAATTGGCAAGATATGAAAATGTTAGACACACATTTGCATAATTAGAACAAACAAATATAGTTGTAAATTTGTACTCACTCAACATCGTGATCCGAAAGGAAGGCGGTAGCATCTCCCTCCCCACTCATATCATTTGGTCAATGAACAATAAATATGTAAGCAAAGATATGTATTCATATTACTTGTACTTATACTTAACGATCTCAGAAAACTTCTGAGCATACATAGAATGGTTTTAAAGGGTAAATAAAAACAAGCAGATTAAAGATCAAATTTTCAGCACATTAACCATAGATAATGAATGTATATTGCTAGATGTTACAAACTTACCTCTGAATAGTAATCAACTTTAATTGAAAAATATGAAATATATTTTTTTAAGAAGCATGGCAATCAATAGATAAAATCAAATAGTTTAAAAGAAAAGATTCATAACTTTTTTATAAAAAAAAAAGAATAAAAAACAAGATTGGACCATAGTTTCGCAAACATTATATCATGAAACGTCAAATGTGATCATTCTACTTATACGAAATTTTCTATAACCATTAAACCAAATCATGACGATGATTTTATCTTGCCCCAAATGTTCATTCCAACATCACATATGAGAATGAGGATACACAAAATTGAATTTTGTGACCAAACAAAAATTCTAGAGAGAACAATAGAACAATGTTCGTGAGGGAAGACAAGTTCGTTTTTTTCAAAATAGGTTATTTGGAGACAGAGGGATATATTTAAAATAAGATAAAATAATTACAAAATATTAACTCAAAATAGACGAGAAAAGTGTCTGTCGTCGCAGTTTCGTAGAGGGAATAAAGTCAAAACTATTCATTTTTTTGCAATAAAAGAAAATGTAAAGGTTATTTTGTTAAGATTACATAATTTTATCATTTGTTTTTATTCCAGTGCTTATCTTTTTTTGTAATTTTTGCTAGAGTTTTGTTTTGAAACTGCACACACAACCAGACAGCCTCATCTAACTTATGAAAACCCATCATTTGCATTTCTAAGCAAAGATTATAACTCATGACCTAATTTACAAAAAATCCAAACAAATAAGAAAAAAAAAAAAAGAAGAAAATTAGAAAAAGAAAC